CTGCAATGAGATTTCTGGGAAACTGTACTGTACTGTATTTCTGGATGAAGCTGGATCCTCTTTCATTAAAATGAATCGTTTGCATCTTCTGTCCGGTGTTCGATCTCTTTCCACCCCTGAATCCAGAAACAGCTGTTGCCATTCCTGAAATTTTTCCTGAAACTATCAGGATGCTCAGAAACTCTTGAACCTGACTTTAAAAATCAGGACCGGCCTTATTCTGCCTTTTGAGAGGTTTGAAGTCTGCCTTTTAATCAAGCTGGAAGGAGAACAACTTCTTTGCAACACTGGCTTTCAAATGTAAGGCCCTACTTAATTTAACCTAACTGACCTTTTGAAAGAAGGAGAATCAAATTCATCACACTCATTGACAGTTCCTGAATAAACCACAGGAAGATGGATTTGGTCCCTTATTCATTGGGAGCAAACCAGGTTTGGGTTTGTTTAAGCTTCTGTAATATCGGTTTAGTTCAGGATCTCAAGGGAAACTAAAGGGTGCTCCTTCCTTCCACAAAATATTTGCTTTACGCATGAAGCAAAAGACCATTTTTTAAAAAAGTATGTTGGGCCCCAATTTTGAGTCACGTGTGTGCCAGGAAAAGTCATTAATTTTGCACCATTGTGCTGTCATTGTTTTCATATTTTTAGGCAGTCTCTATACTTTTCTACAGAAACATAAACATTATTTTATATGGGATTATTTACGACGGGTCCCCAATTCCCAAGCTGCAGACTGATACCGGTCCATAGCTTGTTAGGAATTGCGCCGCATAAGCGAATGAAGCTTCATCTGCGCATGTGCAGGATCTAAATTGCACATGAAACCATTCCCTCCCATTCTAGTCTGTGGAAAAATCTGTCTTCCATAAAACTGGTCCCTGGTGCCAAAAAGGTTAGGAAGCGCTCATTTACAACACACATCCAGATTTTACCAATTTAAAGTTATAGTTTTAGGTTTTTAGCATCCTGTGGCACATTTATGCCTCAGGAAGCACATATTGTAAGCATGATTTACTGCAGTCATAGCTCTGTAATTAAGATACTGGAATACCTGGTAAACCTATAACTTAACTTTTCAATTTTTACTTGAAATAGTTTACTGTTGTAGGAGGGCCATGTTAGTAGCAAAAGCCAGAAGTCTTTTATAACAGATTACCAGAGTTGGAAGGGACCTTGTAGGTCATCTAGTCCAACCCCCCTGCCCAAGCATGAGATCCTACACCATATCTGACCAATGGCTGTCCAGTCTCTTCTTGAAAGCTTCCAATGATGAAGCTCCCACAACTTTTGAAGGCAACTTCTGTTCCATGGGTTGATTGCTTTCAACTGTCAGAAAAATTATCCTTATTTCTAGGTTGAATCTCTCCTTGTTAAGTTTCCATCCGTTATTCCTTGTCTGGCCTTACGTTTTTCTCAAATTGGCACTTTTAAAAAGTGTGGACTTCAATTTCCAGAATTTTGGCAGTGCTGAAGTCCACCCCAATTTTTTTTTAAGTATGTGTTTTATTTTTATTCATAAACATTTTGAAAACTGTGTATTGTCAGGGCATATGATTTACGAAAAAGCAAAAGGAAAACAAACAGAAATATTAACATTGATACTAATAACAATAGTAATAGTGTAATAATAATTTTGACTAGATTTTTCTTCATATTAGCTTATTTATAATTCTGTTAATTATATCAGCATATTTATAATTATAAACCCTCTTTATATTTAATTCATAGATAGCAGTCATCTTTCTTCGCCTAATTTCCACCTCTTCACTCGTAAAATCTATTCCATTTTAAGTAATATTCTGTGTCTTCTTTGTCCTTTATTTTTAATGTCAATCTATCCATCTCTGCACAGTCTAGTATTTTCCACCCGTCTTAAAGACGTCAAGGCATTAAAGCATTTTTTTTTAAAAAAAAAATACGCAGATGTCAAAATGGCTTTTTTTGTAGAAAACTCCTTACTGAAATCTCCCAGGAACCTGGGAGTAAAGATTGGGGAGTGGGCTGGGCTGGGCTTCCGCATCCTTCCCACTTCCAGGAGCGTGTAATTAATCTTAATTAGACAAAGCAGAGGAATGTAGCAAGAATGTCCCCAATTCATGATGAAGGAAGTGGACTTGGACCGGCCTTCAATAGAAGTCCAGAAATAGCGTAACTAATATATTTGCAGCATTGCGTAAAGAGAAGTGGGAAGATGTGTGTTTTCTTAAAACCAGCCAACAAGTCCATGGAATGTATTTCCTGCCAATTGAAAGGAAAGGAAAGGCAAAAGAGAAATAAATAGCACAGAGTTACCAGAAATACGGAATTGTTCTTGCACTAATTAATCTCTGAAGTTGCAGAGATGTTAAAGAGGACTTTTAAAAACCAAACCTTTTCACTACAGGTAGTCCTCAACTTATGACCACAATTAAGCCCAAATTTTCCTTGCTAAGTGAGTTTTGCTCCATTTTGTGACTTGGTTGCCACAGTTTTTAAGCCAATCCTTGCAAGTTGTTTCCCCATTGGCATTGTTCGTCAGACGGTCGCAAAAGGGGATCACAGGACACATCAACAGTCATAAATATGAGTCAAGACACTCACCACCATAAACCATGAGCCCTGAAACAAGATCGACCTATCCCAAATTTTGGGAAAGACTCGATAGGTGAAGATGCCAAAATCCAATCTAAACATCTGGCTGACTGTGACCACCCATAGTAATAATTTATTAAATTTCTACGTTGCAATTTCTCTACTGCCTAACTCACTGGTTCTGGCCAGCAATATACATCTATGCATGAAAAGTAAACCAAGCACAGCTACCCAGAGGGCTGCAAAGGCAGGTGGGAGTTATAAGATTAGTAAATTATTAAAAACAACGATGCAATCTCTATGGCAAAGGAAAAGAAAGCAACCCTTGAAGCTTGTGGCTTGGCTTTGCAAGATTCAGGCTTCCAGATCTGGACGAGCAGCAGGAGGTAGCCAGGACGCTGAATTCATAAATTGTTTTTTATTTTGATTTTCATACCCTTCCCCCCCGGACTTTCAGACTTCTATTATTTCATTGACTCAATTTGAAGAATTCTCTCTCTTTCCATCTCTCTCCCCCTCTCCCTCCCCCTCTCCCTTTCCCTCTATCTCTCCCCTCTCCCTTTCTCTTCCTCCCCCCTCCTCCTCCCCCCCTTCCCCGGCTCTTTCCCCCTCTCCCTCTCTCTCTTACACTATACAAACAAATAAAAATTAATCTGGTCTTGGGTGGTGCCATTTTAAGTGGCATTTTTAACTGAACAGAAGCTGAATCACCCAGCAAAAAAATCAGGCAGAACAAGGTGAAGAACAAAGCCGCCCACTCAGGTGTGGGTTCCTTTTGTCACCAAATTGCAAAGCACCTCAGTGTGTAAACGTGTGCCTGATCTGTGCAAAGATCACCCTGCCCTCTCTGCCAAGGAGCTTGGTCTCCATGGGTTGTTTTTTTTTGGATTGCTAATTGAACTCACAATGATCAGCTGCAATGACAGCTATGCCCAAATCCACCCGGGGCAACTGATTGACCCTGCGGCGCTTTGCAAAAAGAGGCTTTTCCACCTCCTCAAGGGGGCTTGAGAGTTTCTCTTGGCAGCATTTTTTTAACCAGATTTTGTTGGGAGATGCAGAGGGTGTAACTGTTGCATTTCCTGTGATGCAACTTTGCATTCCTTCTGGGTACCACACTTCCTAATCGGGGGGGGGGGGGGGAGAGACTTTTAATACTTTTCCTTGAGATTAAATTCAAGAGCTAAGCCAGGGAGGCTGGAAAGAGGACGGGGCCATCGGAAAACAGACAAAGGTAGTCATCGACTGATGACAGAATAAGATTTGGAAGGGATCTTGGAGGTCTTCCAGTCCACCCCTCTGCCCAAGCAGGAGGCCCTATACCATTCCAGACAAGTGGTTTCCCAATCTCTTCTTGAAAGCCTCCAGTGATGGAAGCACCTACAACTTCTGAAGGGAAGCGGCTCCACTGGTTGACTGTCCTCACTGTTAGGAAATTTCTCCTTAGTTCTAGGTTGCTTCTGTCCTTGATTAATTTCCATCCATTGTTTCTTGTCTGACTTCAGGTGCTTTGGAAAATAAGTTGACTCTGTCTTCTGTGTGGCAGCCCCTCAAATATTGGAACGCTGCTATCTTGTCTCCCCTAGTTCTTATTTTCATTAGACTAGACATACCCAATTCCTGCAACCGTTCTTTATACGTTTCAGTCTCCAGTCCCCTAACCATTTTTGTTGCTCTTCTTTCCAGAGTCTCAACATCTTTTTTATATCGTGGCGACCAAAACTAGGTGCAATATAACCACAATGGAAACCAGAATTTCCATCGCTACGCAAAGCAATGAGGGAGTTAAGAGAGTTACACTGCAGCTTAAATGAGTTACACCTAATTTTAAGGGCTTTTTTTTGCCATGGTTTTTAAGTGCATCACTATACTGAATAAGTGACTCATATGGACATTAAGTGAATCTATTTCTCCCATTAATTCTGCTTGTCCAAAGCCAGCAAGGAACTTTGCAAATGGTGATCGCATGATCCCAGGATCCTACAACCGTTGTGAACACAGAGAGTTCTCAACTTCTTGAGCGCAAAATTTTCCGCTGTTAAGTGAGACATTTGTTCAGTGAGTTTTGCCCCAATTTACAACCCTTCTTCACAGTTGTTAAGTGAATCTAACAAAATGAAACTCAATGGTGAAAAAAATAAGGTTCTACATTTAGGCAAGAAAAACCAAGTGCACAGGTACAGCATATGTGGCATACTGTATGTTTTTATAGTTATAATGTACACTGAAGATGGCATTTAATTTTGTTGCACGAGGTGCAATGACAATAAATTACTACTACTCCTACTAAACAAACGGTTGTAAGTCAAGGATTACCTGTATCTCACACCCCTCCCAGTCACCCTCTGGAGAAAATTAAAGAGATAATTTTGCAACACAGCACAGAATGGGACGTGTTTTGTTTAAGAAACAGCACAGACAGTTCCAGGTTTCCTCAAACCGCAAGTATTTTATTTTTTATATTTTATCTGTCATTTGTCAGTGACTGTTAATACTTCCACACAACCCCCCCCCCCCCCAAAGGGAACTCATGCCAAATATCTCGTTTCCTTCCACCACTCCCTCTAAAAGTTAAATACTGTTCAGGACATTATTTTTCTGCTGGACAAATAGCAAAAGCATTTTTGAAACGAAGATGAACTGCAAACTGCAAACCTCAAACCTTTAAATATGTGCATGCCCACAACAGCTGTAATAGCAGAGATTGTCAGCTAGAGAAGAAGCCAACAATGATTTCAAAGTTTGAATCGGGTAGAAGTGTGTGTGTGTGTGTGTGTGTGTGAGAGAGAGAGAGAGAGAGAGAGAGGTAGGTAGGTAGGTAGGTAGGTACATGCAGCAAGCCACTGCCAAAAAAGCTGATGTGTATATTTTTGAGAAAAATTAAAATAAAAGCAACCAACACACAAATATTCAACCAAAACACTATGTGAAAAAAAGTTTCTACGTGAAAAGGCTGCATTTTGTTGCCCTTTTAACTGCTCTAAAATGTTGAAGAAGAATATCAAATGATAGGAACACAAATCCTCTGTAGGTATTTCCTCAAGCTATTACCCTTGGCTTCCATAATCTAAAAAAGAAAACAAACAAATAATAATAATAATAACCAGCAAAATCAGTAATTTTCTGCTATAAAGCAAAGAAACATTATCCTAAATTATTTGCCCCTTAATACTACCCACCAAAGCGGAATGCCTCTTTGACTAACCAGCTGCTGCTGCCTTTTTCAATCTGATCTATTCAGATGAGTTGGGACTTCAAACCCCATGCTGCACAGCCAGCCTAGCCTTCCGAGCGTGAAGTTCAAGGTCTGAAAGGTATCAGATTGAGGAAGGGCCACCCAGAGGATGCCATCTTTTGAACAGAGGGATCCGTTCCAATTTCTCCTCTTCCGATGAGATCTTTCTAAGATCTTTTGAGTATCCTACTCAATGAATGAATGAAAACAAACATTCAAATTGTAAAGCAAGAGCTAAACTTCTGCTTTCCTGCCAGCCCGAAAACTACGATTTTTCCACTTATTAAATTTGTATACTTTGAAAATCATGGTGCTATTTTTCTTTCTTTTTTCTTTTGTAAAAAAAAAGGGGTTTTTTAATCTGGCCACTTTTGGAACCCTGTTTTCCATTACACAATCTGCAGAAAACTCATCGGGCTGTTGAACACGATCCAATAGTCCTCTTCAGTCAACATGGCTTCAGAACTCCCTCTAGGAGTTAATCACGTGTCCCGACCACGTCTCATGTTTTGTGCCTGGAGCTAGGTGAGTGATGTTGACCTCTACAGCTTGAAGCTTCTCATTCTTCGGCGGAATGGTGCACACCTTGTAGGTGACCTCATCACCAGCTACCGGAACATACTCTCCTTCGATACTGCAAGAGAAAGAAAGGAGACCACAACTACGTTAATGGAAGGGAATCGGCTTTCCCAACCCACCACTTCCATCAGGTCTATGGAGATTCTGAGTCCCAAAGGTAGTTTTTCAAGAGGCAACTGGACTTCCTTTGTTTTTCCTTGAAGACGTTTTGCTTCTTCGCATCCAAGAAGCTTCTTCAGCTTCTGAATGAATGGCGGATAACTCCA